CCTGTCGTTTCCAACCACGTTCGGTTTGCTGCCAATTTCAACAATTTTGTAATTACTTTGTTCATATTTTTCTTCATTTTTTTTGAACTCTATCCTCAAATTTCATCATTTTATAAGTATTTTCAACTCTTCCCTCTATTTTTTCTGTTATTTGTTCTGTGTTCTCCATCCTCCTTTCAATGTTTTTTGTACTTATCTATACTTTTTGAATTTCAAACATAATCATTTGCAATGTTAATTGTTTTCTTCTTCATGTTGCGCCATTCTTCCAGGTTATAAACACTGCCATTAAAACATCCAAAGCTTGAGTCTGACCATCATTTCGACTTCGCCTTCCAGGAGCTTGCTGCCTCCCCCTCAGGTAAGCAACTAAGCCCTGGCGGCGGGACTCAGGAGGCTTCGGGTGGACGGCGGCGGCCTAGCTTTAGCAAGGGAAGGCCTTCCATAGCGAGGCCGTGGGCTGGCAGTAACCGCTGCGTGCGATTTCTCCGCGGGTCATTCATGAAGCCAATGATGAAGGAAGACTCGGAGGCAGGTCTTTCTCGGGATGAGCCAACACGAAATAGAATCCGGAGGCCTCTTTTATTGAGCATACACAAGGAAAGAGTGGAGTNGGAGGAGGAGGAGGAGGAGGAGGAGAGTTAAGTAAGTGTGTTCCTTGTGCCTGTTGTTTGTAGGGACACGAGCTAATCCTAACGAATAGAAGCCCTGGCGATGCCCATAACTGCTGCCAATTTGGCTTGGAGAAGAGCCTCCTCTGCTATGCCAGTGGCCTTCAAAGGAAACTCCTTACATGGGTCCTTAGGAGAAGGGGAACCTTCAAAACACAGGCAGATGCACTGAGATTGATTGATTGATTGATTCCTTCCTTCCTTCCTTCCTCCCTGCCTCCTTTTTCTCATCTCTATTCCTTCTTTCCATTCATCCATTTTCTTCCTTCCTTCCTTCCTCCCTTCTTCCCTCCCCCATTCCTCCCTCCCTCCGTCCATTCCTTCCTTCCTCCCTCCCTCCTTTCCTTCCCTCCCTCCTTCTGTCAATTCCTTCCTTCCTTCCTCCCTGCCTCCTTTTTCTCATCTATTCCTTCTTTCCACCCATCCATTTTCTTTCTTTCTTCCTTCCTTCCTCCCTCCTTCCCTCCCCCATTCCTCCCTCCCTCCGTCCATTCCTTCCTTCCTTCCTCCCTCCCTCCATCCATACCTTCCTTCCTCCCTCCCTCCCTGTGTCCATTCCTTCCTTCCTCCCTCCATCCATCCCTTCCTTTCCTCCCTCCTTCTGTCCATTCCTTCCTTCCTCCCTCCATTCCTCCCTGTCAATTCCTTCCTTCCTTCCTGCCCCTTTTTCTCATCTATTCCTTCTTTCAATCCATCCATTTTCTTCCTCCCTTCTTCCCTCCCTCCATCCATTCCTTCCTTCCTCCCACCCTCCATTCCTCCCTCCCTCTGTCCATTCCTTCCTTCCTCCCTCCATTCCTCCCTGTCAATTCCTTCCTTCCTTCCTTCCTTCCTTCTATCTCCTTGCCTCCTTTTGCTCATCTCTATTCCTTCTTTCCGTCCATTTCCTTCCTTCCTTTCTCCCTCCCTCCCTCCCTCCCTCCCTTTCTCTTCCGACGGTGGAGATACAGAGGGATTCCCTCCCCGGCCTCCATGCCTGAAAAGAGAAGCGCCCGAAAGAGAGATTTTTTTCCCCTCTCTTGCCGTTTCCTCCGCTCCGAGGAGCGACGGGAGCTTTTAACACCCCTCGGTCCTCCGCTTCGCTTTCGCCTGGTTGCCCTTCCGAGACGAAACGGTTTCTGATGGACGGGAAATGCGGGGCTGAAGAATGGAGCGGATACATTTGGTTTTCTTTTTCCTTTTAAAACACGTAAATAAGGAAGCCAGAGGTCTCCCCTTCACACACACACGCACGCACGCACGCAAACACACCCAACGAAGACCTGGGCTCCCAGCGAACGTGCGAATGGGGACCGGGCTCGTCGCCCCCAAATTCTTTGCAGCGGGACCCAAACAAAGAAACCCAGATATAAAATAACAGCCCCCCCTTTCCAAGAAAATCGGGGTTCTTCCCTACAACACCCCCCTCGCCCCAATCCTGGCGCAGGCTTTGCAAAGGCACCGCTTGTCTTCAGATTAGGTTTCTCCCCGCCATCTGCCAAGGCGAGCGTGCTCCTGAACATGTGCAGAGAGCCTTTTTTTCCTTCCCACAAGGACGCCCCCCCCCCACTTCGGAATTAACTATAAAGAAGAGAGGTTTGCCCGGGATGGCGTAAAGGCAGCGGCCCCCACTCCCTCCCGCCCANTCTCTCTCTGTCTCTCCCTCTCCTCCCCTCTCTCCTCTCTCTCTGTCTCTCTCTCTCCTCTCTGTCTCTCTCTGTCTCTGTCTCTCTCTGTCTCTCCCTCTCCCTCCCCACTCATCTCTCTCTGTCTATCTCTCCCTCTTCTCTCTCTCCCTCTCCCTCCCCCCTCTCTTCTCTCTGTCTCTCTCTCCCTCCCTCTTCTCTCTCCCTCCCCCTCCCTCTTCTCTCTCTGCCTCCTCTCTCTGTCTCTCCCTCTCCCCTCTCTCTCCTCTCTCTATGTCTCTCTTTGTCTCTCCTCTCCCTCCTCTCTCCCTCCGCTCTCTCTCTCCCCCTGTCTCTCCCTCTCTCTCTTCTCTCCCTCCCTCCCCCCCCTCTCTCTGTGTAAATGGTATTTCAGCAGCCACCATATCTTTCCAAAGGACCGGAAACTCGAAAAGATTCCTTCCCAAGTCCCCCAAAATCTCCCAAGCTGCTTCTAGGGGAAGTCAGTCGAAGATAGACTGGATTCCCTGGCTGCATTTTGGTTTAAACGGAAAGTTTGCAAGCTGATAAATCTTTCGGCCGCAAAAGAGAACCGTAAGATCGTTTCTTGAGGGTTGGCTGGCTGGTTGGTTGGTTTGGTGCAATGCACATTGGAGTCTGGTTTTAACCAAGATAACAGAGTTGGAAGGGACCTTGGAGGTCTTCTAGACCAACCCCCTGCTCAGGCTGGAGACCCTAGATCATTTCAGACAAATGGCTCTCCAGTCTCTTCTTAAAAACCTCCAGTGATGGGGGCGCCCACGACTTTCTGGAGGCAAGTTGTTCCACTGGTTAATTTTTAGGAAATTCCTCCTTAGTTTCAGGTTGCTTCTCGTCTTGATTAGTTTCCACCCATTGCTTCTTGTCCTGTGCTTTCAGGTGCTTTGGAGAATAGCTTGGCTCCCTCTTCTTTGTGGCAACCCCTGAGATATCGGGACACTGCAAATACCGGAACACACATGACTGTCATTGTGTGTGTGTGTGTGTGTACACATATACAAACATACATACACAAAGATTGATAGCAGTCTTCCAATATTTAGGAAGCCTGAATGAAATACGATAGCTGGGGAAAATGCTAGCTACAGATTCACACCCTGAGCCGAGGTGGTGCAGTGGTTAGAGTGCAGAACTGCAGGCTACTTCAGCTGACTGCAATTCTGCAGTTCGGCAGTTCAAATCTCACCGGCTCAGGGTTGACTCAGCCTTCCATCCTTCCGAGGTGG